TTGAATAAAACAAACGAATTTAATCTTTAAAAAGATTTAAGATCATAATTCATCCTAGGTACAGTCCAATGTATTGTAAATCTATAACAACACATCTACGTTTATACTCAAGAGTCGACCTGCTCTGCTGGCCAAGACAAGCTCTCTCCCAATTTGAACTTTAGACAACTTAATTATACTTGTGAATTATTTACTTGGCATAATTCTATGAAATATGAACATATTTAGATTAGCAACCAATCTAAGATCTCGTTTGTATTATAATCAATATTATAATATAACTTATACTTAATTAAACCAACGGGTAATCAATTAATCTATATTTGTTGATCTTTTATCATTTAATATCATACATTCATGTAATTAATTAATGTATATTTAGGATAATGTGCACAAAAAGTAAATGAATAAGCCTACATAAATTTTATTATTTCATTTCAGTTCAAATGTGTTCAATAATTATATGAATTACTTAGTTTAGGGTATTAAACTTCAACAATTTGAGATTCATTTTCCTCTTTGGGTGTACAAATATGAAAATTCTATGTTAATCTTGGATATGATGTCCAATTTTTTTCGATTACATCGATAAAGATCAAGTCTCTTTTAAAATAATATTTTTTTTATCACGACAAAATAGCATCTTTTCTTTGAATTTATTTTATAGTCATTACTAATATTTATTTTACTGCAACATTATTTTCAACAAAGGCTTATTGCCAACTTCTTTTAACATCTTTGGATATGGATATGATTTCATATTGGTACTATTTTTAGCATATAAGCCTACTCGCGTGTCGTATGAAATTCCAAGTCCCCACCAAATATACCAGACAATGATAGAATTTGTTGTTTCACTTGTAGCCTTGCAGAGATGGGCATCTTGCTAACCTAGTCATGTTGTAAGCGTTTGGTAAATGTTTGGAGAACCCTCAATCACAATCAATAAACTTGGAATCAAAATGATGCCCAAACCTGCTCCAATTATGTAACAAGCTCACTGCAAATACCTTAACTATAAGTCCCTTAATGATGTAAACCAAGACAGTTCAATCAACTTGGAATGCTTTAAAATTTAAGATCTAATATTAATCAAGACTTACATTTAACAGAAATATTTTATCAGTGTATTACAGGGTTTGTTAACAGTGGAACTCATAATTAAACCTGCAACCTTAGTGATTCAGAAGAGAAAAACTTGAAATAACCAACTACCCTAGTTATAGTTTAATCAAAACTTACCCAAACTGGGTGATTACTAAATTATGCTACTTTTCCTTACTTAATTTGTCAACATCCGTTGCAGTTTATATAAAAGAGGGAACAAATACATATGCAGTATCCGTTTTAAGAAAAGTTACCCAAGGTAAGTTCATGATTTGGTTTTGATTGCAGAAACTACTCCATAATGTCTTAATTTTTTTAACTTTTCAATTCACTGCTTTTCTTTGCTTGCTTTACCTTTTTTAAGCTCACTGTTTCAGCATTCTCTCCTTTTATATTTCTTAATCCACGCCTCCATTTTCTATCTACTGCTTTAACTGTAACGGCAGTTGTTGCCTTTGCTGCAACACCCCATCTCTTTTTTCCCTTTCTCAGAGGTTAGCTAACTGCCGAAGATGTCAACTAAACTGAGCCAGAAAAAGGGAAGCAAGGCAAACGGTTCTATCATACAGAAGTCTAATACCGGTGCTGCTGGGAATAAAGGGATTTCAGGGTCTTGGAGTTGCGGTTTCATGCTACGTAAGAGATTGAAGTTTTCGCCGGTAAGGTTCCTCAGGCATCTTGGCGGTAAAGTATCCAAAGTTTTACATGAGGTTTCCATGAAAATTAGGCCATCTCATAAGGTTTCTTCTTCATCAGGAAGATCAAAGCCATTTGTAACTACTGTTGATGCTCATAGAACAGCTGCCATCGAGGACTGCATTGAATTTATCAACTCTTCTGCTTCTTTGCCTCGATCAAATTCTGTTTCTGCTGATCTTCGCTGAACTCTGCAATTGATTGTCATATTTGATCATAAAGATACTTTGATGAAAATATTAAGAATCCTATCATAGTAGCTTATATGTACATTGTCTTTTCCTTTAAATGATGAAAAGTAAAGCATTATATTAGTTTACCTATGAACTGTAATGGAGGTTCTTATCTTTCTAGTTTGGTTTCTCCTACATGAAATTCTGTTGGGGTATATTATATTATCTATGAACCAGCAAAAATTGATGTGTTTCATGGTTTCCAAATTTCAAGAATTGAATATAGGTGGAAATTTTGTTACTAAATCCAATTGCTTTTACCACATTTCTACCATTTGTTTCTGGAGCTTAAACTTTTTACAACATTCAAAGATGACAAAGAAACCAACTACAGTGGACTTTAAGTTGAGACAGCAATCACATGATATTGTTTTCCAAACCAAGCGTGTGCACTAGAATTCTTAGTTTTTTTGACGCAGAATTGGATGAACATGCCTACCTTTCTTCAGTACAAGACCAGAATTGACATCCCAATAGTTGATATTCGTCCTAATTTGTCAAATGACCCCAACACTCAACCCTTCCATTATCTATCTTATCCAGCAAAAAAGCTTATGTCATGCTTGGGATTTGGATTTGACATCCTCCCCTTTTCCGTGTACTGTGCTCTTCACCTTGAACTACCCTTTGTTCTAAAAAAATAGTCTCTAAACAGCAATTTGTCAGCTAATCTGATGACCAAATATAAATTATGTGACTCTGACAGAAATGAGTTAGGTACCTGATGTAATTGCTTTGTTTGTTCAGAATATAAAGGTGAAGATAATTACTAAAACCATTATTTGTTTTTCACCTAATCTTGTCTAGCTATCTGCAATTTCCTACTGCCCCAAAGTATTGTTCTACTCAGTTTCTATAAATATTGCAACAATAGCTGGTAATGCTAAATTCTTGCCAGGCAGTGCCATGGAATTTATTGTCTTCAGGTTTTTTTCAGGTTCGAGATTTAAAAATCTGTAAACTTCACCTGTATGACAACTAGAAAATTGTTATTAAAAAAAAAAGAAGGTTGATAACTAATAGTGAGTTAATTCATGATACTGCTCCATCTCTTATGAAGAAATTTCTGTTGATTCACTGTTTGAATGAAATGTTGTCATATACAGTAACCGTTGTCGCAGACAAAATTTCTGTTGAATCATTGCTATATTATGATGTTTTAAGCAGACACGGATTTGAATTCACAACTTAAACTGTTCTGTTGATCCCAAAAAATAAAGCTGCCCCAATGAACTGACCAAAACCAGTAAATCCCAAACATATAACTTCAAGTGAAATAGTAATTTGTAGAAGAAAAAATGGTATGTATTGAAGAAAATTAATACGACCTTATTATTGAAGAATAATAAGGTTCCAAAAGCAACAAAGATGCCAATGATTGGCTAATTATATATATATATATATATTGCCACAACCTTTCTTTTGTGGAACTTTAGAATATGATCAGTTACATAGAACTGGTCTCCCTTCAGCGAATTCCCAAGACTGCAATCAAATAGCCATTTCTCTTATTTGCTTCCCCCCCCCCCGGCAAACTACCTATTTACGGACGAGTCTACAGCGTACGTCGCATATCGCAACATTTGTTAAATGAGTATAATGGTTTATTTAAAATCAATCATTTGTCAAAATTTAATTTTACTTTTAATAGAACTATAATTAAATGATTGATAGAGGTTGCGAGGCGGCTGAAGCTTCAAGATTTGAATGGCAACAAGTTCTTGGTCTTGAGCGACAAGTGTGAAGTTACCGCCAATGTGATTTCGACGATGAAAACTCGAAAAATAATTGATAGAGGTTGTGAGGCTTATAACCAACCACGACAAATGACCCAAGTAATCTGAATGTTATATTAGACTCTGAAGCGAATAAGGCACATACAGATTCTTGATCATGCATACTAAACAACAATTGCGAAAGATAATCAAACAAGCTCTAAAACAACATACACATAATGCACCACACATAATTAAATTATAAGCAAATCATGCCTTCAAAACAATCGAAGTAACAAATTAAGCATACAAGAACAAAATAATCATTTTACGTCACATGCAAGAATTCAACATAATTTCCACAATAAATTAGATTATTAAACTTTAACAGATGCGAATTAGTAATGTTAATTTTTTAGTGGAGACATACTTCAATTAGGTACTCAATTGAGCATACACATTTTAAGGACAAAACGTAAATACTCTAAAATATGCATTTAGTGGTAAATACAAAATTGAAGAGCTCGTTATGTAATTAGTATTATTAAAGGGCGACAGAATAAATCTCAAGCAAATTCGAATTAAAACAAAGTTTTAATTAAGAAATCAAGTTATGGACCAATTAAGCTTTATTTTAAGGCTTAGAGGTAATTCTAGGACTTAAACGAACATTATAGGTCTTTAGCGAATACAACTTCACCATTTTTCCTTGATTTTAAAATCAATGGATTAATCTCTTTTCACGGGAGATCGATCCTTTGTTTTCTCGTAACCAAAAATCATAAAGGAACCGATCCTTTGCCTGAACGAATCAATCATTTTTCTAGAAAATGCAGAAATGCATATGAATATGCAAGAATGTGCTTATCAAATGATGATTCAATCGATCTTATGGTCTATGAACATGCTTAAACACACTTGATACACTTAAAGTATGTCAAAACACATGTAACACGTTTCATAACATCAATTAACCAAATCAACTTATTTTTTGAATCAAAAGCCAATAATTGCACAAAAAGTCGACTTTACACAAATCACCTAATCATTTTGTGCATTGTAGATCATTCCAACAATAAAAATGAAGGTAAATTTACCGATATCAAACGATTTTGTTTATATGAATTTATATGAAAATTAATGTCTACTTTTTCAATAGAGAAATCAAAATGCAATATGAGATGTGGTAGGGGCCACAGGCAAAAACAAGTACAGGTTTAGATGAGGAAAGCCAACGGGAAAAACTATGTAAGAACATAAAATGATTCACTTGCTCTTTTAAGTGATCTTTTGTTTACATTGGTTGCTTCATATGTCATTTGAGATTGAGAACTTGATAAAGTTCACAGAGGGAAAAGAATGGGAAATAATTGACAAACCATTCAAAAAGATAATAAAGAAAATCACTCACTGATCACTATTTTATGCAGAAATAAATCCATAGCTGTCACCCTCCTGTATTCCAAACAAATGTCTGTCAGACTTGGGATTTCTATTAGGAAAATTTGCAGAGCAGTGAGAGGTACAAGGAGCAGTAGAAGAAGACACTTTTTCTTTGAAATCTTTACGTATTCGCCACAAAACCTCAACACATTGCTTCATGGATGGTCTGGATTTTCGGATTGGTGCTAAGCATTGGTGAGCCAGTCTCAGGACTTCCTCAACCACCATGTTTGATGCTGGACTTCTCCTTAGCTTTGGGTCCATGGCAATTACAAACTCCCCTTCCTTTAATCTCTTCATTGCCTGCACCAACAGAAAAGCTCTCACTCAACATTTATTGCAGGACTAACAAGTTCATAAATGAAGGAATTCCAGTGTATTTATCATCTAATGTGAAAGATCATTTGTTGAACATTCATAAGAAATATATGCTACTTTAAATTAAATTTAATATAAAGTTAGAAGGCAGCTATGTTACTTGAACTTGGACATATTTGGAGTCTTAGGTGGTTCAGTGACATGTATGATTGATGTCTCTGATGTTAAAACCTATGTTGAGATAAAAATTCAATCATGTTATCATCAGATCGTTACATAGTTACATACCAGCAAGAACTCAGTAAACTGCAAATCGGACCATCTCTACCAATAACCAATTTTTGCTTGTAGTTATAAAGGATAAGATGAAATGCTCACCCATCGTATGGTTACTCGTTCCTTGACCGGTCTCTTTGATTCAATTGGACATCTTCCGGTCATCAACTCCACAAGCAATACACCAAAGGAGTATACATCACTTTTTTCAGTGAGCGAATATGTTCTGGTGTATTCAGGATCCACATAACCTGCAGTTCCTTTGACTTGAGTTGAGATATGGGTCGCAGAGGGGTCCCCTGCTGCAAGTCGTGCGAATCCAAAGTCTGCCACTTTCGCCCGGAGTTTCTCCGTGATAAGGATATTCGATGCTTTTATGTCTCTATGGATTATAGGAGGATCTGTCAATTTATCATTTAGATGCATTGTCACAAAAGGTTATGTAATCCAATCTTTATTCAGGTGCAAAAGTGTTAAAAGTGGTTACTTAACATTTAAATAGTGATAAAATTTGAGTGTTTGAACTTCAAAAATCACACCATTGCAGATGGGGAGATATTGAAATAGCAACTCTTTGAATCATTTTACAGACGGAGAAATGTCTACAAATCGGATAAGTTGGAAAAGTATATAAGTAATACCCGTATATGTATGAAGATAGGTAACCGCATGGGCGACATCTATTGCAATGTCCAGACGTTCAGCGATTTCAAGCCCGTTCCCCTTTACACCTGCATTAAAAGCTATGTTGAGCACCCAACTATCTTCCGTTATCTAAGCCATTGAAGCTATTTACTCTGAAAATAAGAATCTATGTTTCATATTAACAGTTATCCATTAGCTTCCTATTCTCAGCCATGATTTCCATCTTATAAATCAATACTTAAGTTTGAGAAAAACAAAACTCTAGTTTAGAAACTTCCTTTCAGAGTTTGAAACTTGTTCCTTACCATCAAGATGTTCTCGAAGATTTCCATTTGCAACATATTCAACCACGATAATTTGCTCATCTTTGTGCTCCAGAAACCCAATTAACCTTACCAAACTCAGATGTTCGATCTTCGATAACGTAAGAATTTCATTCTTGAACTGCAGTGGTAAGCCTTGGTCAAACTTGTCCTGTCACAGATTGGTATTTTAAGTGAAAATGTAATATATAATTGAGCATCTACTTTTCTAAGGTTATTGGCATATAGTTTTTGAAGAATCCCCCCATGTTCTTAAGATTAATTCCTATATATGCACGTTTATATACCTTTTTAGCACGCTTTACAGCAACAAGGGATCCATCCTTAAGCCTTCCTTTATAAACTGTTCCAAACCCACCATCCCCAATTTTATTTTCTGGAGAAAAGTTTCCAGTTGCCTTACAGATATCTTCAAAGGAGAAACCGGGTGTTGGGATATGTCCACTAGCAGAACTGGAAGAACCATATGAACCAAAGGACTTGAACCCGGCTGAGCTCCTTACATCGCTTCCTGTGGAACGATCTGTTGAAGTAGAAACTACAGAAAACATAACAGAACTTATGATCAACAATGGATATGAAGATACAACCGTTGAGAGCTTATTGATTACTAATCATGATAAATCACAATAGGAAAAAAACTTACAGGAAATTCTTCTGACTTGGGTGTTACTGTTCATCTTGTTGGTATCAGTAGTAGCCTTCTTTCTTTTCCTAAACAGTAATGCTGTGAAAACCCCAGCTAGTTTCCTTGATGCAACTTTGAAGTAGTTCTTAGTTGTTTGAGTTTTATGTTGATCAGGAAGAGAACTGGAATCTTGTTGGATCATGCTTGGATGCAGAGTTTTCTTCATTAGTGGAGATTAATGGGTCTTTCTCCTGAGTCAGTTTGACTTTTGTCTGTTGCCAAAAAAGTAGAAGCTAAAAAGTATATTTATTGTCTCCTTGCCCTTATCCTCTCCGGTATATATTGACTTCATTTTATGCCAATGGCGACCAATTCAACCAGATGAAACTCGGTTTCTTGTTGAACCGGCCAGCAATGCAGGAAAGTCGAACAGAATTACAGAAATATCCAGATACTAATAAATTAATGGCTAAGGCCTCTACAATTATCATTGCTTAACTACAATGCTCTGTTAGTAAAACAGCCCAGGCCCAATACACAATGCTGATGCCCTTATTTGTTAAAGCAGTTGCTTTCATTTTTAGTTAATAGGTCAAATGTTGAGGGCTATCTAAATAAAGAATTTGAGATAAGCAATTATTTGGTATGTGTGAATAATAAGTATTAACAGCTACAGTAACTCCATTTTTTTTCTAGATCGAGTCTAGTTGAATAAATTTTTTTAAGTTATTCGAGTTGATGAGTTATATTTTATAACTCGAAGTTGAGTTGAAATTTTTTCGAGTCGAGTCAAATTTTTAAGATTTTATTTAAATTTAATTGTAAATATTACAATATTATGAAATCATTTAATTCTTATTTAAATGATATTTTATAATCATATACAATACATTTATATTTTTTTTATATTTTTTTCATATGTGATTTACATATATCATACAAAGTCAAGAGACTTGACTTAAACTTGAAAATTAATCTACTAATTATTAAAAAATTTGAATTATTCAAGTTATATTTTACAACTCAATTTGAACTTAAAATTTTTTCGAATCAAATTTATGAAATTATAACTTAAAATTAATTTGAATTGAGTTTTACTCACCCCGAATAATGACAGCTCCACTATCACAGACCAGTTGCAGTATGGTCCCAATGAAGCACGAAGAAATCAATGCAGTGTCACCGTTTACGAAAGTATACGGAAAGTAGACTAAAAGATGCATAACTTCAACAATTACAAGCCCAGGACACCATAAAAGACCTCAACGTCATTGTACTCGAGCAAATCCTAATTTTAACATATTCACGGTCAGTTCAAAGTCAACATGAGCAGAAGTTTCCTAAATTGTTCATGCAAGAATCAAATGAGTGAATCCATTAAACTACCTCAGTGTAAAAAAGAATATTTTTCTAACTCTAAAGTTCGAACAATTGAGTAAGGTATGAGCAGGAAAACATAAAATTCTGAGCAAAGTTATTTCATTTCTTGTGAGTGGTTAGCCGGTGTAACAACCCGAATATTTATAAAATAATATTTAATTAAAATTAGAGGTTAATTGTAAAAATTGGTAAATTGTTGGTGACTAAATCAAAATTTATGAGAGTTTATAGGCCATTTTAGAAGTAAAGAAAATCCATGGACCAAGCCTTGAATTTACCCTAAAACTGTCGACAGCTTTGGGTGATTATAGGCGTGCATTTGGTTCTGATTTTCAGAACCAAAATGTTCCCAATTTTCCTTTCTCATACGCCGTTTCCAACTCCGATTCCGACGCCGTCCAAATTCCAATCGTCGTTTTAAAACCACCGTTGTGTTCATCATCGAGCGTGGAACAAATCCTTCAATTTAATTGAAGCGAAACGCTGCCAAACGTAGGGAATTTACAGTCAAAGTCTCGACGTTTTTGTTAGCTCTATCGCCGGGAAAATCTTAAATTCACCGCCGATCGTTGCTCCGTTTACGACACCTCCTGCACCATCGTATTCTTTGTGTCGTTTCGAGTCCGCCGGTGTCAACCTTGTTCGCCGTCGACGGCGGCGCGTGAGGAGGTGGAGCAGTCAAAGATTCGGCCGAGTTGAAATCGAGCTCTCTGCCGTTCAAAAAATTTGAACTGATCTATGTAAGTATATCGAAATCGCTTAAAATAATTTTTAGAAATTTTTCCGGAATTTTTAAACCCCCGGAGGAGGCCTCACGCGCCACACGCACCGCCGTATGGAGAGTGGAGGGATGGAAACCGGTTTGACCGGTCTGACCCGACCCGACCGTTGACCGTTGACTTCCTTTGACCAAAACTTAAAATGGCTTTGACCGACCCTTAAACGACCGTAAATCTTTTCCGAGTATACCTATTCTGATAGTTTTTGACGTCCCGAATCCGTTTCCGAAGTCCGTTTTGTTAAATTCGAACCCGAAGGCCTCCAAATTGACGGTCAAAGTGGTTGACTTTGACTTTGACCAAGAATCTCAATTTTTGAAAATTTATACTTTATGTTTTTCGACGTCCTGATTCCGATTCCGCAATCCGTTTGGCCAAATTCAGACTCGAAATACCCCAAAATGATAGTCAAACCCAAAAAATGCTTATATACTTAAGAATTTTAGCTTTGAACAATTAAGTAAGATTTGGGGCTGATTAATTATTATTGTTTGAAGGTTCAAGAGACTCTCTGGATCGTTCGACAGCTCGACCCAGCTCTTTTAGATCAGTTAAACCACGTATACTAGTATTCACCCATTCGAAAACTGTAGCAGAGCGTGGTGAAACCAGCAATCAGTAGATCTACTATCTGAACCCATTATCGAGGTGTGTTCCTGTTTACTACATAATGGTTTTATATGTTTTGAAATATGGTACATTGAAATCTATGGATTATTATTGTTGGTACACCGATTTATTGTTAATGATTTATGGACTTTGATGACTGATATATGGATATTGATTTTGGGATGGATTGAACTACAATTGTATAGCTCTGATCAAGCTAATAAACGAGCCTAATGTGACTCTTGAGGGCCCCAAGATGTTTCATTAGGTCGGCTTTCCTTTGCTGTGTGCTTAGGGTAAGCTATATGGACTTATTGACTTAGGCTTAAGGATACAAGCTTCATAGCCTATCCTTAAGTCAACTTTCTTTTTGCTATGTGCATAAAGTAAGCTATATTGAAAATAATTTTGGGAACTACTGATGGTGTACCAAAAAAGGGTTTAAACTATGATTTTCAAAAGTTAAACTCTTTTACGAATTTGTGAGATTTACTGGACTATGATCTGTTTAATGTACCTATTGTGATTTTATGGTAATGTTGGGACACACTGAGCCTAGCTCACCTTTCGAAAATATTTTTCCCATTTCAGATACTGTTGGTTAGATACCTCGATTTGAGCACTTGGAGGATCAACATATCTCTTGAAGTATATCTGATTGTAATATTTTAATCTTGCAAGTTGACTTTATTCTGGTGACATGGACCTATTTTAAAGTATTGGATTTTATAATGATGATACTTTTTCTATTACTATTCAGTTTATCGTGGTTTTGATTTTTAAGATATGTTTTAAATTAATTTATTACTGATTGGTTTTATATTTAAGAGTTGAGTTTTAATAGTATAATTTATTATAATTTCATGTAATGAATAATGTGATTTTACATTGATTGGATAACGGTTTTGGAAAATGTCTTTGTGATCCACTAGACTTAGTCGAAACGCATAGGCCGGGTCTAAGGGGTTACATTTATTGGTATCAGAGCCTTTGGTTTTTAACCCTCGGACCGTGTATGAGTCCATATTGAAAATACGGTTTTGAAATATTTTACAAAACAAGTTACAAAGGCCATGTCACAAAATTATTAAGATTTTTAAATTGTGTTCGAGACTCCAAGTGCTTATCTAACCCTAAGTTTCATCTTCTAGAGTAAACTTGAGATCCATCAAAATTAGTGCTAGACGTGGTCGTCAAACTAGCCGTGGACGAGGTCGAGTGGCTAAATTTACAGACCCGATCGATAGGATACGAGTAGATCCCCCACCTCCGTTAGGTGATCCTGCTCCTACGACCCCAACGAATCTGCCTTCTGCCGCAGGTATTGGCATGAGTACATCGATCATAGGAGCGACTAATATTGAGTCATCAGCACAGTCCGGGAAGAGGACTCATATTTTGGCCCCTCAGAGAAACAATACACGTTTTAGGCCTGCAGCATCCTCACCGTTAGTTGGCAGTCGAGATGGTTCCTCGTCGTATTATCATGGACTCCTTTGTGAGTATTGTGGTAAACAACACACAGGAGAGTGTCGTAAGAAGATGACTCTTTGCTATCAGTGTGGATCTAGTGGTCATTATCGGAGGGATTATCCTCAACTAGCTTCGTTTGAGTAGATCGCTACTCAGACTCCTGTGCGTTCTCAGATTACAGTACATACCACAATTAGAGATCGTGGTCAAGGAAAGACTCGAGGATCAGCGTCCAGGACAGACAGTAGAGCCTGACCTAAGAAAAATTGAGGGCCAACAACTTCTGAGGCTAGACAACCAGCTTTGGTTTATGTCACTAGACGTCGGGATGATAGAGATGAACCTGAGGTTATTGAATGTACATTACTATTATTATATCTCATACTTTGCATTACTGGACAATGGCTCCACTCACTCCTATGTATCGAGCTCGGTATCTCGAAACCTTCAGATTTCGATTGAGAACACTGAAAATACTATTATAGTTACGAGTCGAGTAGGACAAGTGGTATTAGTGAATAAAGTTTTTCGGCGTTGTCCTCTTGAGGTTCAGGGAGAAATTTTTTCTTGCTGATCTTATGGAGCTTTCTTTAGAGGATTTCGATATAACTCTTGGGATGGATTGGTTGACTAAATACAAAGTAAATCTGGATTGCGAGTATAAGAGAACTACTCTGAAAACTTCTGATGGTCAGACCGTTGTGTTAATTGGTGAACGTTGCGGCTATCTTTCCAATATAGTTTCAGCGATGGAAATTGATCATATGATCCGGAAGGGATATGAGACTTTCATTGCATGTATTTTGAACACCAAACGTGCATTGTCTACAATCGAGGAGATTTGTACAGTTAGCGAGTTTCCGAACGTTTTTCCAGAGGAGTTGCCTGGGTTACCTCCTGATAGAGAGGTAGAGTTCGAGATTGAGACTTATCCAGGATCTTCACCTATTTCGATGGCACCTTATCGTATGGCTCCAAAGGAACTTAAGGAGTTGAAGTACCAATTGCAAGAATTATTCGATCGAGGATTTATTCGACATAGTACTTCACCATGGGGAGCTCCAGTTCTGTTCGTGAAAAAGAAGGATAGGTCGTTGAGATTATGTATTGACTATCGGAAATTGAACAAGATGACGGTCAAGAATAAATACGCACTACTAGGATTGATGACTTATTTGATCAATTGCAAGGAGCTACTGTTTTCTCTAAGATTGATCTTCTTTCGGGGTATTATCAATTGAAAGTTAAAGGATCTGATGTTGCAAAGACGACCATTCGCACTAGATATGGTCATTATGAATTCTTAGTAATGCCTTTTGGTTTGACGAACGCTCCTACAGCTTTCATGGATTTGATGAATCAGGTGTTCCGACCATATTTGGATCACTTTGTGGTGGTCTTCATTGACGATATTCTGATCTATTCTCGTACTGAGGCAGAGCATGATGAGCATTTGAAGATCGTTCTGCGGACTTTGAGAGAGCATTGTTTATATGCCAAACTAAGTAAGTGTGAGTTTTGGCTTCAAGAAGTGTCGTTTCTGGGGTATATTATTTCTACGCGAGGTGTTCAGGTCGATCCCAGCAAGATAAAGGCTATTATGAATTGGAAACGACCTAGGAACGTCTCTGAGATCTGCAGTTTCTTGGGCTTGGCTGGTTATTATCGACGTTTTGTTGAGGGCTTCTCGATCATTGCTTCTCCTTTGCCAAAGTTGTTAAGGAAGAATGTGCCGTTTGACTGGGGCGAGGCACAACAGGAGAACTTTGAGGAATTAAAGGCGGTTTTGACTCAAGCACCGGTTTTGATTCAACCAGAGTTCGGGAAGGATTTTACAGTGTATAGTGATGCGTCACATTCAGGACTTGGTTGTGTTTTAATGCAAGAAAGTAAGGTGGTGGCTTATGCATCCCGTCAGCTGCGACCGTATGAGTGTAACTATCCTACTCACGATTTGGAGTTGGCAGTAGTAATTTTTGCCTTGAAGATTTGGAGACACTATCTTTATGGAGAGAAGTGTTACATTTTCACGGATCATAAGAGCTTAAAGTATCTTCTGATCTAGAAGGAGCTTAATTTGAGACAGCGTCGTTGGTTAGAACTTCTAAAGGATTATGATTGCGTGATTGATTATCACCCTGGTAAAGCTAACATTGTAGCGGATGCTTTGAGTCGAAAGACGGTATCTGAGTTGAGGTCTTTAATGGCCAAGATGAATTTATATGATGATGGCACTTTGTTAGCAGAATTGCAAGTTAAGTCGACCTTGGTTGATGAGATCAAGGCTAAGCAGCCCCTTGATAGCTCCTTGCTTTCCATCTTTGAGCAAGTAGAGCAGGGGGCAAACTCAGATTACACAATTGATCAGGATGAAGTTTTATGCTTTAAAGGTCGATATTGTGTGCCTGATGATGCTGAGTTGAGGTAGACTATCCTTACTGAGGCTCATAGTAGTCCATATGCTATGTACCCCGGAGGAGATAAGATGTACCGGAATTTGAGAGAGAGGTATCATTGGATTGGGATGAAGAAAGACATATCTGATTTTGTGGCTAGGTGTTTGACTTTCAGCAAGTTAAGGCAGAACATCAACATCCATCAGGTTTGTTACAGCCTATCAAGATTCCTGAGTGGAAATGGGAGCGTATTACTATGGATTTTGTTACTGGCTTACCTATGACTCATTCGAAAAAAAAGATTCAGTTTGGGTGATTGTAGACAGACTTACAAAGTCAGCTCACTTCATTCCTGTGCGGGTAAATTATACTTTGGACAAGTTAGCGCGATTGTATATTTCAGAGATTGTCAGTTTGCATGGTGTTACGTTGTCTATTATTTCTAATCGAGATCCGAGATTTACTTCGAGATTCTGGAAGGCGCTACATATGGCTTTGGGAACACGATTGGATTTTAGTACATCCTTTCATCCACAAACTGATGGTCAATCTGAGAGAGTGATTCAGATTCTGGAGGATATGTTACGGGGTTGCGTAATTGATTTTCATGGTAGTTGGGAGAACTTTTTGCCGTTGGCTCAATTTGCTTACAATAATAGTTAGACCAGCATTCGTATGGAACCTTACGAAGCACTCTATGGGCGTAAATGTCGCACTCCGATTTGTTGGACTGAGTTGCGTGATAGGAAGACTTTGGGACCTGAGTTAGTGCGGGAGACAGAGGACACAGTCAGATTGATCCGTGACCGTCTGAAAGAGGCATTTGATAGGCAGAAATCTTTTGCAGATCAGAGAAGGAAAGATATACAGTTTGAGGTTGGAGATCAGGTCTTTTCAAAAGTTTCACCTGGAAGAAGTATTGAGATTTGGACGTAAGGGTAAACTGAGTCCGCGATTTATTGGGCCGTATCGTATTCTGAAGAAAGTTGGACCTGTGCTTATCAGCTCGAGTTGCCTTCCCATCTTAGTCGTATTCATGATGTTTTTCATGTGTCTATGTTAAGGCGATACCGTCCAGATCCAAGTCACATCATTCAGGTTGAGGAAGTAGAGCTGAGACCTGATTATCATATGAGGAGGAGCCCATTCAAATCTTAGAAAGAGATGAGCAAGTTCTTCGGAATAGGCGTATTCCAATGGTCAAAGTTCAATGGAGTAACCGAGGCCTCTCAGAAGCTACTTGGGAGACATTAGAGTCAATGGAGGCTCAGTTTCCTCAACTGTTCTCATAAAGTAAATTTCGAGGACGAAATTTCTTGTAGAGGGGGAGAATTGTAATAACCCGAATATTTACAAGATAATATTTAATTGAAATTGGATGTTAATTGTGAAAATTGGTAAATTGTTGGTGACTAAATCAAAATTTATGAGAGTTTATAGGCCATTTTAGAAGTAAATGAAATCCAGGGACCAAGCCTTAAATTTACCCTAAAACTGTCGGCAGCTTTGGGTGATTATAAGCGTGCATTTGGTTCTGATTTTCAGAACCAAAATGCTCCCCACTTTCCTTTCCCATACGCCGTTTCCAACTCCGATTCCGACGCCGCCCAAATTCTGATCGTCGTTTTAAAACCACCGTTGTGTTCATCATCGAGCGTGGAACAAATCATTCAATTTAATTGAAGCGAACGCTGCCAAACTTAGGGAATTTACAGTCAAAGTCTTGACATTTTTGTTAGCTCTATCACCAGGAAAATCTTAAATTCACCGCCGATCGTTGCTCTGCTTACGACACCTCCTGCACCATCGTGTTCCTTGTGTCGTTTCGAGTCCGCCGGTGTCAACCTTGTTCGCCGTCGACGGTGGCGCGTGAGGAGGTGGAGCAGTCAAAGATTCGGCCGAGTTGAAATCGAGCTCTCCGCCGTTCAAAAATTTGAATTGATCTATGTAAGTATCTCGAAATCGCTTAAAATTATTTTAGAAATTTTTCCGAAATTTTTAGACCCCTGGAGGAGGCCTCACGCGCCACACGCGCCGCCGCAGGGAGAGTGGAGGGCTGGAAACCGGTTTGACCCACCCGACTGACCCGACCCGACCGTTGACCCGACCCGACCGTTGACCGTTGATCGTTGACCGTGACCATTGACTGTTTACTTCGTTTGACCAAAACTTAAAATGGCTTTGACCGACCCTTAAACGACCGTAAATCTTTTCCGAGTATACCTATTCTGATAGTTTTCGACGTCCCAAATCCATTTCCGAAGTCCGTTTCATTAAATTCAAACCCGAAGGCCTCCAAATTGACGGTCAAAGTGGTTGACTTTGACTTTGACCAAGAATCTGAATTTTCGAAAATTCATACTTTATGTTTTTCGACGTCCTGATTTCGATTCCGCAATCTGTTTGGCCAAATTCAAACTCGAAATACCCCAAAATGATAGTCAAACCCGAAAAATGCTTATATACTTAAGAATTTTAGCTTTGAAAAATTAAGTAAGATTTGGGGCTGATTAATTATTATTGTTTGAAGGTTCAAGAGACTCTCTGGATCGTTCGACAGCTCGACCCAGCTCTTCTAGATCAGTTAACCACGTATACTAGTATTCACCCGTTCAAAAACTGTAACAGAGCGTGGTGAAACCAGCAATCAGTAGATCTACTATCTGAACCCATTATCGAGGTGTTCCTGTTTACTACATAATGGTTTTATATGTTTTGAAATATGGTACATTGAAATCTATGGATTAGGTAGTGTTATTAGGGTCTACATTCCGAGTAGCTCCACCAAGCAGAATTATAGGAACTACACGTTTGCTTTCGTTCAGTTTGAGAAGGAAGATGGGTTGATGAAAGCGATAGCAAATTTGAATGGTATTTGGATAGATGGTAAGAAAGTCTCAGTTGGTGTAGCTAAGTACCAGAAGCAGAGGTCCAGGCAAGAGGATAATAGAGATGTCAGAAGGGTAGAAGGTAAATGGAAAATAGGAACGACTTTGAGAAGAAGACCAAGGTCAGTGTCGATCAGCAAATTGAGGGATGAAAGAACATATAAGATGCGCTGGTCTCTTATGACGAGCAAAGGGAAGTTCAGGGGAACAAAGAGTTTAAGGAGGGTCGTCCAGGAGAGAAAGAAGGACTGAGAAATGGGAGATGCATATCCCATTAGATGAGTATGATTGGGTTAAAGATCATTGACTGGAATTATAAAATCCCAGTTTGATTTGGAATTAGTGGAGAAGGGGCTGGCTAGTGATGGAATCATAGTCAGGGGAGCTAAATGGGTTATACATGGAACTCTTGTATCTTAACTTTCGACTCAGTAGAAGAATTAGAAAAAGCAAGGACGAGCAGAGGGGAGGAACTGTTGTTCTGGTTGATTGGCTTGATCCGCTTATGAGCGAAGAAGGTGTTCCGTTGGCTTTTGCTCAGTTGAACTGGTTGGAATCCTTTATTATGTTGGAACGAATCTTTCTTGGAAAAGTTACTTTCAAAGTGGGGGAAGTTGGTCTGTATTCACGAGTCGACAATCAAAAGGGAGGATATGGCGGTGGCAAGAGCTCTACTGAAGGTGGCCAGTCCGTTCGACATACAAGAATTTGTTAATATGGGTTCGTATGGGCGTTCTTTCAAGGTTAAAATTAACTTGGGATCGGTTAGTATTAAACAGGAAAGCTTTGCAGTTAAAAAATCTATGGTGGCCGGAGATGGTGTGTACAGTAACGACGCTCAACCTGAGAAGGAAGATGATAACCATTCAGTTGGAGTTGGTAAGCTGGACTTGATAGCTAAGGATTCTAGGGATACATATGTCAGAGGGTTGGTAGGGAAAACTATACATCTATGGTAGGCGGCAAAGGTGAAGAGCATTATTGTCACAGGAACTACAAGTCAAATAGTGGTGCTATGATGTCAGAATTACCAGATGGGATTTTGAATTTAAAAGGGGATTATCGAGGGCTGGGTTTAAGAGATGATTTATAGTTGAAAGTGTGGCAGCCCAATCTGTGGATTCGAGTGAGGACCACCCAATTTCTTTTATTGGGCCTGGGGTTAATCAAACCAATTTGGGGTTTGGTAAGGGGAATGAATCCCGGTTGGAAACTTTGGTGGAGCCGCAACAATCTGGTTCGGATAAATCAAATGTGCAAAAAAAGGCTAATGATCCTTCTTATCTATTCCCAAAGCCAATTCCTGGTGGGGTAGTCGTTAGGTTACAGCCAGTACATAGAGAAGATTCTAAACAAATCCAATGAGGTTTTGATTAATGAAGGAACATTCCTGAACAAAGAAGCTAGTAGTGAGGAAGGTATAGAAGAGGTTAGGGAAGAAAAGTCGATGCACATGAATCAAGAGAGTGGTTGTTATAAGGAGTTCATACTATTGGCCTTAGTAGCTGGAGTCCTTTCAATCACCTGCCTAGGAGTCTGCATTTGGGAGGGTGGAAGAGAGGGCCTGTCTCCAGAGTGTATAGAAGATCCAGAGGTAGAAAGGTGTGGTTTAATCCACGCAGAGAAAATGGTTCAATGTTTCCACTGGAGGTGTTGATCAATAGGTCTAGAATATTCCTACCTCGAGTATTTTACCTATTACCAATATATCGGGGAGAAGCCGATTGAGACCCAGGATGATGATGGTTCTAGTCAGAAAGCAGATGTAGTTCGGTCACAGCTTCCTCGGGGAGATGGTGAGGGTGTTAAAGGGAATAAGCATGGATCAGAAGCAAGGACTGGTATTAGAAGAAAGAAAAGGATTTTGATTAGGGAAGCACTGGACGTGGCTAGTATCCCTACTGTGTATTCTCCAAATTTTTCCTTATTTTAGAAGAAGCGCTGGCTACATGGGAAGTCAGTAAATTGCTTGGGATCTCATTCAAAGAGGGGAAGAAAGCCTTTTTGGATAAATAATTAATATGGAGAAAGGTTTGGCTGATTGTGGGAAGGGGTGGTTTCGGGGGAGTAGGATCTCTCGGCTACTTTGCTTTGAGGTTTTGTTTCCATAGATATATACATGGTAAAGATGAAGATATTCTTGGAACATAAGGGGTATCCGAAAAAAAAGGAAAATCTAGAGCAGTAGCTACTATGGTCAGGAATTATAAACCAGGCATTCTTCTCATTCAAGAAACAAAGCTGGAAAAATGTTCTCAGGCTATTAGGAGAAGGATAGGGGAGTATTCTTAATAGTTGGACTGTTGTTCCAGCTGTGGGGTCTGCAGGAGGTTTAATGGTGTTGTGGAATGATAAGGATTTTGAAGTTACAAATAGTCATTTAAGCAGGTTCATAGCTGTCTTTGGAAGTTTTAAGAATTCATGTGATAAATGTGTGATTATTAATGTATATGGTCCAAGTATTGATGCTGAAAAGGAGGATTTTTTCAGGGAATGCTGAATTTTGTCACGCTCAACAGTATCAGTTTGCATTGGGGGTGATTTTAATGTGTATTTTGATCCGACAGAGAAGATAGGAATGTCACAGAATTGGTTTTCTATAGCTATTCTAAGAAATTTCCTGAATCATACTAATTTAATCGATCTACCTATGGTTGGGGGAAGGTTCACTTGGTGTAATAATAGAGAAGCCTCTACTTGGGTCAGATTGGATAGGTTCCTAATTTCTGGGGATTTTGATAAGTTTTCCTAATGTTCTGCAAAGCCTGTTACCGAGATCTTTATCTGATCATAATCCCGTTTGTTGGAGGAAAAAACTGTTGATTGGGGCCCCAACCATTCAGATTTTTAACTATCTTCTAGAGGAAAAAGGGTTTGAGGATATAGTTAATCATCCATGGATGTTTCGAGGGGGAGTAGAAGGAGTAGGGGCATTTTCAGCATTCTTCAAGAAACTAAAATAGCGATCAGAAGTTGGTCGGGCAGAAAGTTCAATGGAATTTCTGAGTCCATAGCAGATCTGGAATTGAAGATAAATAATCTTGAGTTTAAAGCTCAAGCTGGGGACCTCTGCCAACAGGACTGGGGGCATCTGCTACAGTTCAGATCGGATCTATGGAGGTTGTATAGGATTGAAGAAAGCATCTGGTTCAGAAATCAAGGGCGAAATGGATTAAAGATGGAGATAGAAACACTAGATTTTTCATTTAACTGCTCTAAACAGGAGTAGGAGAAATGAAATTACTAGTTTGAAGATCAATGGTTCTGAAGTTGTAGATCCGCAATCTATTAAGTGCATATTGCGGCCTTTTTAAGGAATCCTATAGTTCTATGTCAACGCTGGGGGTGTAGAGGATTTATCCCTGGAGTGTGCTATGCTATCAGAGTCCAATCTTAAAACTTGAGGAGCAGTTCACGAACAAGAAATATGGCAAGCGATAGCTTCTTCGGACAGTTCTAAGCACCAGGATCGGATGGCTTTACCATGGGCTCTTCAAGAAATGTTGGTCGGGTTTAAAGGAACATGTATTGAAGTTTTTCCAGGATTTTTTCAGAGGTAGAAAATGGGAACACGGAGTTAATCACGCGTTTATTACTCATTCCGAAGAAGACTAATCCGGAAAGTGTGGAGGATTTTAGACCAATCAGCCTTGTAGGTAGTTTATACAAGATTCTCTCAAAAGTATTATCTAAAAGGTTGAGTGCTGTGTTGGCGACATAATAAGTCAATCCCAATTTGCATTTATTCCGGGGAGACAGTATTGGATTGCGCCTTCATTGCGAACGAAGGTATTGATTTTGGAGAAAACAAGGACTGCAAGGGGTAGTTTTAAAGTTGACTTCCGAAGAGCATACGACACTGTGGAATGGCCTATTTTGTTTAGAGCAATGAAAGAAATGGGATTTGGAAACAGATGGTCATCGGGATTACTCAATGTCTGTCTACAGCCTCTATTTCGATTCTTGTAACGGGTATCCTTCTGAGGAGTTTGCAATGGAAAAAGGTCTTAGACAAGGCTGCAGTCTTCTCCACTTTGTTCAACATATAGGCGAGATGTTACATTTGATGCTTTCTAAAGCAATCGAGAGGGGTTATTACAGGGTATTATTATGGGGAATTCTGAAAATTCTACCAGGCTGTCCCATCTACAATTCGCCGATGATTTAATATTTTTGTCAAGCTCCATTAATCAGATCAAGAATGTAAAAAGGGTGCTGAGGATCTTTAGCATTATGACATGTTTACACCTCAATTTAGCAAAGAGTAAGCTGTTCGGTATCAATTTGGAAGAGGGGAGTGTTATCGGATTGGGCAGAACAAGTGGGCTGTTCGGTTGGTTTTAACTACAGAATACTTGGGACTTCCCTTGGGAGCAAGGAAAAACACGAGGCTCTATGGGATCCGGTCTTTAAGAATTTTAGTTCCAAAATTGCGGGGTGGAAAGGTCTTGTCTGTCTTTGGCTGGGAGGACAGTCCTGTTGAAGTCGGTGCTAACCTCTTTGCCGATTTTCTCTATCTTTTCAAAATGCCGTGCAATATCGGAAAGAAGCTTAATTCCTTAATGGCTAACTTTCTTGGGGTGAGAAGGGGGATAAGCGGAGGATTCACTGGGTAAATTGGAACACGGTTTGCAGGCCTTTGAACTGTGGTGGACTAGGTGTCCTTGATTTGAATCTTACTAACCGGGCTTTACTAGGCAAGTGGGTGTGGAAATTTGCCAATGACAAAAACTCTCTCTGGAAATCGGTGTTGTGTAGTAAGCAAAAGATCAGTTGGAACACTATGTCTATTGGAAAGGTTACTTCTCCGAAATCTTCATGGATCTTGAGAGGCATTGCTAATAATTTTTCTAAGAATGATTCGGTAGGGAACTTTCTTAGATTGAATTCGAAGCTGCAAGTGGGTAATGGGAAATCAATTTCTTTTTGGAATGATGTTTGGGCGGATGAGGTCCCTCTAAATACTTTTTCCTGAATCTACGTGCTTTCCATTAATAAAGGGGGAGATTGTGAGTTTGGCAGCTATGGACCGAGTGGTTGGGAGTGGAATGTCCAAACTAGAAGGAATCTGAGTGATTGGGAATTGGACAGTGGTTAGCTTTGATGATAAAATTAAGGATGTCAAACTGTCAGCTGGTGGAGGACTCTCTTCTGGTCTGCTAGTGGAGATGGACTGTTTTCGGTTAAATCATGCAGGGAAAACATTGGCTCGGAGGTAGGGAGTAATGATGTGTGGCTACAAGGAGTTTGGA